CCAGTTAGCAGTGGTAGAAGTGGAGGGTGTGGTACCAGCTTCTCTCCCACAACTCTCCACCGACAACGAGATCCTGCAGGAAAGCAAATATGAAGACCTCCATCCTGCCTGCGGACTCATTCCAACTCCCCCTCCCCCTACTCCCCAGTAAATACATTGCTTGCTAAGGTTAATACATTCTCCATATATGCTTACACACACGTAGCAGGCGTTATACTCATAGGTTAAGGATTTTATTGTGCTCATTGCTCGAGTTATTGTCAATTGAGTTAGTAAAGGTCTTAAGCTCCTGAGAGAGACAATCTCTACTCTCAGTAAATGTTATGTATCTCTTGACAGGATGGTTTAGCTTGTGCTATAATTAATGTTTATCAGTTGTTACACCTAATGTTTATCATTTCCACAGGCTATGAGCAAGGAAGAACGCTTGCAGCTAATTTAAGGACAATATTTGGTGTATTCAGCTTTTTTGTAACTTTTACACTTTTAAAAATGTTCAGGTTTGTTTAGAAATTTTTTGCCCGTTCAAATGAATGGCAAACTCTTCAAATCTTCCTCCCCTTTTAGCCTTAACCAGTTCAGTATACTTTCACCTAGAAAAACCATTCTAACTTTAAACAATTCAACAAATCTTCAGCTATTCAGGGCTATATTCAGCTTTTTGACAGCAGATCGCTAATTAACTTCATATGAAGGCCCCAAAATGTGCATGGTTTTCAAAATAAAAGCCCCTGGTAACAAAATAAGTTCACATGAAGATCTCAAAATGTGCCTGATAGGACTTATAATTTTTTTTCGACTATCAATTGTTCAAAGCCCATGTTCGACTGAAATCTGCTGTAGTGTCCTCAAACTGCTGAGTTTCTTAACAATGCACCTGATATTTTTACATACACAAACAGCAACAGAATAAAACGCACACACAAAATAAAACCCATATACAATCCAAGCAATACAGTGATGCACAGTAACACATGCAGTGGTACAGTGACACACTGGCACACACGCACAGGTTGGTCTGCCTTCAAAATAAGAGCTCTGCAATATTCAGAAACAGATTCAATGTAGACATCTTTGAATATCCAGTTCTCTTCAAAGCTCAGAGCTTTGCTCCTTTTCACTGTCAGCTAGTCTGTCCTGTCCTAGCAGGACACATCACACAGCACCATCAGTCAGACCAGCACAGGCTGGAATGTTCTTGTGGAAAGTTTGATCTGGCCAGGTGTTGGGTGCGTTTCTTGTCGTTTTATTTCATGTTACTCGGGAACCATTATTGCCAGCCAGTGTCGCAGTGGTTTGTCAGCTGATATGCAAATAAACGGCAGTAAATAATTTCTGTAAGCAACAAATGGAAAATGTGCCTGTGCCCAGTATAATAACTGAACGATCATTTTACTTCGGCATATTTTCAGCTATTTCAGGTATCAAAATGTTCAGCTCTTCAAGGACATTCATACTTCTATTCTGAATTTTTCTAAACTTCATACTTTTTAAATATTTAGCTTTATTTTGAAAATCTTGCCCAATTCAAATGAATGGGGGAAATTCTACTTCAGCATACTTTCAGCCTGAAAAGTCATTCACGTGTCAAAATGTTCAGCATTTTCAGGGCAACCCTTCAGCACTCAGCATCCACACACATTTTCTTCAGAAAATTCATTTCTCTAGTTCAGATTTGATCATTATAGTTTTATAAGGCAAGTATGTTTGTAATCTGGGTTTTGAGGAATGTTCACACAAAATATGTACAAGAAATTACCAAATAGGTTCATGGGGCAAAAAGGATCATACAGTCAGCCAGGCTTTGGAATTCTCTGCCTGAGGCTTGACTAAATCTTAGTTCACATCTATGCATGCATAACCTGCCTGTAATGAAGCCATAACATTTTATCAGTGTGCTTCACTCTTTATTATAACATTCAAAAATATAATGGGCTTTTCAGTTATTTTAATATGTAGTGTTTTATTTAAATGAAAAAGTTAAATGTTCAGACTAGAGAGAGAGTGAGAGACCAACTTGTTAATTAATAGGACTACTGTGATCAACCTGCTAATGCTCAACAAAAAACAACATATCACAGTTTTGAAATGGAAAAGTCACCTTGAAATATTTTTCCAGAAATAATGAGTCTGAAAGCTGATCTGAACCAGCTGTAAAAGAAAGCATAAATAAATGGATTCAGTGTTGAATTTGACAGTACAAACCAGTTAAGTGTTTCAAGCACAGGAATTGGAACTGAAACGATTAAAGTAAGAATGGTGACACAAAAAAAGAAAGGAAACCAGCACATCAGAAAAACTCCCATAACAATAGCCAGAGTTTTGGTGGCCTTACTCTCCATCTTACTGACAGTTGCTCCAGACTTTGTGTTTTGGATGCTGCGTGCCTGTCTCTGCGCAACAAAGAAAATCTTCAGGTAGATGCAGAGCATTATGATCACTGGGAGGTAAAATGCAAAAACAAAGCTCATAGTGTTTGCTACAACATTGACTGAATGTTTTTCTAACTTTACAAAAGTGAAGCAATTTCCTATTGTCACAGAAGCAGTCCAGCTCACCAGGATCATGACCACAGCAGCATTATGATTTATTTTAGTTGTATATGTCAGAGGCTGGCACACTGCATAATATCTGTCAATAGAAATACAACACAAGTGCATAATAGAAGATGTGCACAGTGTTATATCAAAACTATCTCGTATTTTGCAAAAAATGTTTTCCTGATACAGACATAAGCTGAGAGAGAAAGCCATGCTGAAAGGAAACACTAGAACACCAACGAGCAGGTCAGCCATAGCCAAAGAAAGAACAAGAGAATTTGTAGGAGTGTGGAGCTGTTTGAAGTAAATGATGGAGGTTATTACAAGAAGGTTCCCACATACTGTGACAACAGACAATGAGCCAAGGAAAATATATAATAAAACACACCATGCAGATGGAGT